TTAAACCGCATAAACACATTTCATTACACCAAATACACAAAATAATGTTCTATTTAGCAGCATCATATGACCCCTTTAACAGCAAACCAAAGATTTTAGAGTGCTATAATCCTTGATTAGACTGACAGGACAGCTGATACGCTGGTTGCCTAGCAACATAAAAAAAGCAGCACACTACTCTTTTCTGAACCAAAGTGAACCAAAAAAGGCAGTGCGGTGCACCTTGTGTTTTCAAACCTGAAACATGTGTTCTGTCTGATCGGGGCCTTACTTGACCCTACGCAAGAGGGGGTCAGTTTACCCAGCTGTACAGGCACTTGGGGTGACCCTTGCTTGTCAGAGGTCGCCATGATAAAAAGGGGCACTGGGAGATAGACAGAGAAAGCAAAGAAAGCAAAGAAAGAAAGAACCAAACATCAAGCAAAGTGGGCATCAAGAGAGGTTTGGCATGACATGCAGCGGCACCATCTCAATCGGTCCGGCGCGGGTAAAATAATTATAATGCTGAAGGTGAGGTACAGTTCATATTTCTTTATTAAATACCTTACGAAGTCATTTGAAAACTTTCTGTGAGACGTAATTTCACAAACTGCGTGAGTGAATCACCGCACGCTCTCTCTTTGCCTCTCTAAATGCGCAAATGGCTTCAAATCAGCACATCGCGTCTGCACTATAAGTCACATTGTCACTAAAGTTTATAATTTGCATTTCTTTTTAAGTCTTGCCAGCGTTTAAACCATTCAGCACTCGCACGCTCTCCTAGGGGGCCACCTCACATACAGCTCACAAAATCAGGCTTGCGCTGTGTGTAAGCTATTGTGCAACAACTGCCCCATTGTAAAAACAAAAATGCACTGCATTGATAAAACATTTAGGTGAGATAATTATATTTTGGAAAATGTCTAAAAACTCCTCCAAAAATCCTGATTGGAGCACCCTTAATCACTAATTATTTACTACAATTTTATCTCAATAAAGGTAAGAGAACAGACTAGTGTACAATTAAATAATAGGTAGAGTCATGACCAAAAAAGGAAAAAAAAAAAAAAAAAAAAAAAAAAAGGACTTTATTGTGCACATCCAAAACCCAAAATGGGCTCAAGGTGCAAGACAAAAAATAAATAAATAAATAAATAAAGGTAGATTTCCGTATACTGAAATGAAAGCTCCAGAAAGTTTTGATTGTAATAAAATTCTGGATATTTAATTTAAGGGTGCAAACATCTTCCTTTATTTTAAGACTGTGACATCTACTGAGGCTCCATCTCAGTAGTTAAAGGCCACTACTTCTGTTATTATAAAGCATTATCAAGAGAAGGGAGATGTGGTGTGTAAACGCATATTCTGTGATTGTTTTACAATACCATGTTTTGGCTATTTTGATGCTTATTGTTCACATTTGAAATATTGATTGAACACCTGAAGTAAGGTTACCATCCTGAAGCTTTTTAGACACAAAAAATATATAGCAATGATCACACACACACACACACAGATCGGGGTGTTTTGTTAGTTTGATGCGTTTCCTCCTCTTGAGGTCGCCACTGCTTTTATGAAGAGGTTGCCAGGTTTTCACAACAAAACCCACCCAACCACGTTTCGAGGGGGTCCCCCGTTAAAAATCACATTCCGAGGATAAAATATGCATGTTTTGGCGGGGTTCCCCTGGTAAAATTCGCATTCCTGGGGCTAAATATCACGTTAATGGGGTCGTTTTTCAACCCGCGGACATGAAAAACAACCCGCGGCAACAGTGAGCAGCCCAATTCCGTGGGAAAACCGCGGACTTGGCAACACTGGAAGAGGATAGCTTTCAGATAGCGCATCAAGGACCGGGTTGACCGGGTACTCGGTACCACCGGTACTTAAAAAAACCTGGAACCGTATGTTTTTAATGTTTTTAGTACCGACTTGGTACCGAAATACCGGGTCTTTTGACAACACTACACAAAATAATAATAATAATAATAATAATGGAAGCACACACATTTTTGACAAATGTATACTTAAGAAACGGAAAGTCTCCCTTGCAAGTCTTATGAGTTTATGTAGCAACACTGGAAGAGGATAGCTTCGTTTAGCGCATCAAGAACCGGGTTGACCGGGTACTCGGTACCACCGGTACTTAAGAAAACCTGGTACCGTAACGTTTTCATGTTTTTAGTACCGACTTGGTACCGAAATACCGGGTCACAAAATAATAATAATAATAATAATAATAATAATAATAATAATAATGCAAGCACACACATTTTTGACAAATGTATACTGAAGAAACGGAAAGTCTCCCTTGCAAGTCTTATGAGTTTATGTAACTAAACAATCTCTTATAACAGACTCTCATTATTGCACTCCTGGCGTCTGACTAGACATTCCTCAAATCTGGATGGTCATGACAGAGGTTTTAAAGTTTGAATGACCTGTTTTTACTAATACTTACTTTCCTCTCTGTCTTTATTGAGATGAGAACATTTGGCAGCAGATATTCAGGACTGAGGGAGCAGTAGAATGTGATCACTCCAGCCAGAAACAACCAGAATATCATGAGAATATGGAGATACCTGGAAAAAGTGGAACGATAACATATAAAAGCCACTTAACTGCATGCCGGGAAATACATTTGTTAATCACCAATCATAACAGGGATCAAAAAACCTTGATGGACACTAAAAGTGGAATTTAGAGAAAAAAATATATAATGCTGCAGTCAGAATATGTCTTGATTAAATGTGTGTGTCAAGATACTCACTGGTTGAGGATGACGGTGGAGGAGATCATAAAGGTGAAGATACAGAAAATGACCGGATATTGACGAGCAACATCCTTAAACACATGTAACCGCAGACCTCTCCTCACACACCCCAGAATGCAGTGAGGGTCTGACATTATATCTGAAACAAGAGAATCAATCAGAAAGTATCACGCCACGCTTATTGTTTTGGTACAATATTGGGCTGATATTGTTTATCCTGGTACTAAATTACCATATTCATGTATTTACATGCTAACGTTACAATTCCGAAACAATCATGATACTAACGTTACCATGGTACCATTTGCTAAACAGAGTAATACCATAGTACTATACCTATATATCTTTTATATACGTACACTAACACGTAGAAAAGATAAAATATTATCATATTCACATGGTATTTACATGATCCTCTAAAGTACCTCAAAGTAAACAGCAGTGGATTGATGGTAGTCTGATAATCTTAACCTGCAGATGTGTAAACAATGTAAATTACACTGAAGTATTTGCTCTTAAATGACCGTTTAAGCGCGATGTTATAGTTCTCTCACCTCACAGACGAAGCGCAGGTCTGATATAAACTCTAAAAACATGTAATGAATGTTTTGATCGTTCAGCTGATCGTTTCACGTGATCAGATTAGTTACTGATCATTACGCGAGCTGCACTTCCGGGTTTAACTTGAAGGCTGCCGACGTTTTCAAAATAAAAGTCCGGCCTCTGACTGAACAAATAGCGATTCTCTCATGGGATCAAGATATTAATTCACTAACATAATCATAACGTAATGTATGTGTAATTGATCATTCATTCATAATAGCTGTGGTTCCCGCGGTTTATCATCTGCTCGCAGGCTTGAGGCTCGAGCCAAAAAAAACATCTACCCTCATGAGGCACTTAGTCACATTCCCACAGACAGTCATGATATCTCTTACAAATATGAAAACATAATCACCACTTTTCACTATTTGGGCTCTGGAAGTGCTTGCTTCAGAAAATGGGATTTGTCCATCTCATTAAATATAAGCTGTTTTTTTCAGAATTTGCTGTTACCAAAATGTGTTCGAGTATATTAAAACCCTGATATGTGTAATGAAACATGTTATTATAATATGTAATATATAAACATATTAATGAAATCCTTAAAGATTAGACAAAAATAGAAATACACCAAAATGGGAACATGGTTGCAGATTTAGCCTAAATTAGCAGGTAGTTTTTTTACAAAATGTTGGTTTATGTTAAACATATACATATATATTTATTTATATCCCTGTTGAAAAAAACATCATATGCTGGTTAGTTATGTTTTGACGCTGGGATGCTGGTTTATGCTGGTCCTTTGCTGGTCCTTTGCTGGTTTATGCTGGTCCTTTGCCAGCACATGACCAGCATAAACCACCAAAAAGACCAGCATAAACCAGCAAAGGACCAGCAAAGGACGAGCTTAAACCAGCATCCCAGCGTCAAAACATACCTAACCAGCATATGCTGGTTTTTTCAACAGGGATATCATTTATCACCGTAAACAAAGTTAATATAATAACTTGTATATAAAGTTATCATATTAACTTTGGTTACATTGAGGTAGCCATATGAAATAATAGTTTTTCTTTCATATGAATAGTTTCTTTCTTTCTCTTTCTTTCTTTCTTTCTTTCACCAAAGAACATGGGATTTCAGATTTATGCTTTAAAAGATTTTGTATACCAGTGATTCTCAATAACCACACAAGGGGGCCTCAGCGAACCTCTAACAGGGCTGCAATTCTATTAAAATCTAACAGAATAAAAGGACATGTCTTGCTTAATGTCTGTCTAAATTCTGCAGAGATATTATTAGTTAGAAATCTTAACATTTGACATCCAAGATGCATGGACAATGAAAGTGCTTAATCTACTAAATAAACAACCAGCTTTCTCTCACACTTCACTTTTCATGAACACTAAAAGTAGATCTATGGTCAAAGCAACAACACCATGATATAGACAATATTTGTATGTTTACCGAGTTATTTCTCTGTGGTAAAAAGCTTATTGTAAAACTTCTCAGCTCACTTTTTATATGTAAACATTATTTATGACTTGGACTGTCTCGGGCCTGTCTCAGCACATTAAAACCACGTCAAGTGCTTTTCTTGTAATGCCTGCCTGTGTGGAGTTTAAGGCTTGACAGAAATTCTGTGTTCCAAGGTTGTTGATCTGAATATCAAGCTGCGTTTCGCAGTTTACTCATAATGGATTTCTGAAAAAATGAGAGCGTGAAAGTAAGAGAAAAAGTGCTTAATGTAACAATATTGTCTTTCACCTTGGGTTATGTTGTCATTCCTCTGCAGATAGTGGCAGTGGATTGTGTTTATGACAAGAGTGAGAGAAATTTGGAATGTTCTAGTACATTAAACATCAAACTACAAGTTTTTCAAATGAAGCGTGTAGCATATCTCCCGGCGTTGTGCACAATCACTGGCCATGGAGCCAACAACACCCTGCTGTTACATGGACACACGCATTTCATCAGATGAATATGCCATGTGTTTACTATTTCACTGAAGATGGATTAAAATGATGGTAATGTTCATTTTAAAATGTTTATTTGTTAATGCTGTTACAGTGGGATGTTTCATGTCAGATCCAGATCAAGTCATCAGGGATCATTTTGTCATGATAACTCTACATTATCCTTTACATAAAAATTGATACATATTTACACACAAAAAACAACAACAATGCATTGCCTCTGAAGTTAATCATTGCTTTCTGTGTAACTAAGAACTGTGATTATCCAGTAGAGGGAACCAGAGGCATTACCGATATGTGCAACATGGTCTGGGTCTGACTCCATACTGACTGATTTGACACAATGATTTGCAGTTTTAAATAAAAGTATCCCAATACACAGTTTAGGTCAGAACTGACTTTATTTAAAATAAAAAATAAAATAAAAACGTGAAATTGTGATACATACGTGTGCAAGCAGCTTCTGTATTTTAAGACAGACTTTTTCAAGAACTACTTTGGGACGAAAGCCACTGTGACGTTTAATGATTTCTAAGCTTCAATACTTAAGTAGATACATTTCAGGTAAAGGTACTTAAAATGCACCTTTTGAACAGTGCAAACAAAAAGCACCACCACACCATTTCACGGTTTAAGGAATATTACTAAACAATCATGATATGTACATTTCAGCTGTTTGTTAATTACCTACAAGATTACATACAAATTTTGATGAACAAATATTTATTTTTAGAATTTTGATTTTTCTCTGGGCTTTGTGCATATTGTGAAATGAATTTTACGTTACATCTCAGAGAAATGCATCATAAGAATGACAAAATAAAAATGAACAATCAGATTTAAATCCGACACAGTTATTTCAAGTCACTGTATTATCTGTGACGATAAACCACAATTACCGGCCATCTTGTAAATAATTACACTACTGTAAAAATAGTTTTTTCCTGACGCTCAAAACAATAACACTAAAGCATCATGTAACGGACCAAATATATCTTAGTAAATGAGATTAAATACATTTGTTAACCTAACAAATGTCTCACTTTTCTTGCTTTCATTATTCATGTACTTGAGGAGCAACAGAACTTGCTCCTCTTATAATACTTTCATTTTCATAACATTTCTTTCATTGGCAAAACAAGACATCTCAAAAACAGAGAGACTCTTATCTTTTGTCGTTTATCACAATGATGTTGGATACACTAAATCTCCACAGAGTTTTACACATATTTACATAGATACCAATGTGTGTATATATATATATATGTATTTGAATTCATACTTACACGTTTTTATTAAAAAGATCATTAGCCCCTTATTCCCATGTGAGAAGATATCATTGTTCAAAAAAACAAAAATTCAAAGTATAAAAATATAGTAAACTTTCATAAAGCACGCACAACATCCACACGTTACAATTAAATATAAGGGCAAACAACAACAACAACAAAAAAGCCCCAACAAATTCATTTACTGGGTGAGAACCTCTTCTGAGAGAAAGCAAAAAAAATCTAATTTGGCACTTAAGCAATGAAATGTCATAGTGAACACTTCATCAAACCAGTGGTAACTTAAGCAGCTTTGTGTTTTGAACTTTATGCATGGATACTTGCATGTACCTTTCCATGACCGGCAAGTAAACAGACATTCTTTTAAGACGAGGTGCATCCGAACAACACCCCGCGGTACAATCAAACAGCTTCAGCCGATGTCTCCGCTGAGACGGACATTGTCAATTTGGCTATTTTCACAGTGGTCTTCACGCAGCTCTCGGCTGCACGGTTGGCGGCGATGTGCTGGTTCCTCTGACAGTCTGACTCCAGGCTGTTGTCCAGCTGCAGGGTCGTGCTGGAGGTGCTCCTGCAGCACTGGCAGGTGGCGAGGAAGGCCCTCCTCAGGTCTTTACTCCTGAGAGCGTAGATTATTGGGTTAATGGTGGAGTTGAGCAGGCAGAGCATAGTACAGAACGCAAACACTGTCTTAATGTTGTCGTCCATCCGCCAGAACAGATCATACACCATGATCGCCAGCAGAGGCCCCCAGCAGATCACCAACACCGCCAGGATCAGAACCAGCGTTTTGGCCAAGCGGATGTCCATGCGAACCTGATCCGGCCTGGTGGTCTGGACCTTGGTGCCGTCGGAGGAGTGGACCACCAGGCTCTTCTGAGACGTGCGCCGCAGCATCCTCACCGCGTGGTGGTGGGCCTTCCAGAGGATGTACATGTAAGCGTAGATAATGAAGATGACCAGAACGCTGGTCACACCGATCCAGAACATCAGGTAGTTCTCGTCGATGAGCGGAAAGATGTCAGAGCAAACCGAGTTGAGCTGCTTGCAGTTCCAGCCCAGCAGCGGCAGCACGGCGATGATAATGGAGATCGCCCACATCATGCAGAAGGCGATCACGGCTTTGGTGCGCGTCACAATGCGCCTGTACGCCAGCGGACGGTGGATAGAAATGTATCGATCGATGGCGGTGAGGAACAGGCTTCCCACAGACGCGGTGAACGAGGCCGTCACGCCCCCTAACTTGAACAGAAACACGTTCGGACTGTCTTTGCGGTGAAAGATGTGAAAGTCCAAGAAACTGTAGACGAAGATCACGCTGCCAAGCAGGTCTGCGATGGCCAGGCTACCAATGAAATGGTAAGATGGCCTGCAGCGCAGGGTACGTGACTGCAGTATCACGCACAGGACCACAAGGTTCTCCAATACTGTAAAAGTCCCCAGCGTGAGAGACAACACTGCTATGGCGAGCTGTTGGCTAGGAGTCAGTATCATGAAGCATTCCATGTCCATAAAGTTCTCCCCGCACTGCAGACTGCTCCCTTCATCTCCGAGGCTGAAGTTCCCGAACACGTCAGAGCTGTTCGTGGGGTAAAAGGGCAAACCTTTTACGATGAGTTCCTCATCCGGTCCCACTTTATCTGCGAAAGAGCTTCTGCGGTAGGCTGCGAACGGCTTCGGCAGTGGGTATCCGCTTTTGATGTGGTCATCATAGCCGACGTCGTTAGAACCAATGTACTGCAGTCCAGAAGTGATGGTTCTGAAGGTGGTTTCTGCCACTCCATCCAGAACGGATTTAACATGGGACTTGGAGGCAGGGAACAGCATGGTCACAGATGTGCTGAAGGAAAC